ATTTTACTTGTAAGAATATACAAAATCCAGTCAGAATTTTGTTCATTTTCCCTGTCCGCCTCCTTTCTATATAGAATGTTTGATTCTTGGTAGATTCATACTACATTCCCACTAGTTTCTAGGTGGAATCCTACTACTTATTTCGTACGTGCAGTCACCTATTCAGTGTCAAATATATAAAACACAATCTACATTCAGAGCTGACACAAGCTTGAATGTTGTTTTTTTAGTCGCCCAATTGATCATGGCTAGACATTTGCGGTCATATCAAGCTGCCTCCGCGGAGCATTTTATAGGAAATTGAAATATAAATCAAAGTTTAGTTTAGATATATTTGATACAGGAATAAATTTTTAGCTCATCTGGCCTAGACAGAGCCAAATAAGTTTTTATCAATTATCGGCGTCCGTCTCCCGTCATCGTCGTCATTATCCGCCAGCCTCTATTAACTTTTACAAAAATAGTCTCATCTAAAGTACTGTACCAATTAAAACAAAACTTGACCACAATCATCTTTTGTGTATACAGTTTAATAAATGTGTCCGATGACCCTGCTTACCGACCAACATAGTGGACCTTATGGAAAAAGAAGCACGAGGGTAAAACGAAATGTTTGGTTATTAACTTGAAAACCGTTAAAGATAGTGAAAACCTGACAGGGGACAGAATTTTTAAAATTATTAGATCTGCATAAATTACCGTAACATCAAAACTACGACTTCTTGATTTATTGTCCTAAAACAACGAATGTTACTATAGTTTTTCATATTTGCCCATTATCTCGGAAATAATAATAGAAATGTTTTTAAATAACAAAAATGATCACCAAGAACAAAGTCCCTGTTTGCTAGTGTATTGTCTCACCTTGGCAGAGTAAAAAAGCCAGACATAGGTATGCTGTTTCCTGCGTTGGCGGCGGCGTCAACAATGTATTAGTTTGTGATTAGGTCTAGTTTATAAGTGGTAAGTCAATAATATTTGGTATTCAGTTGTATAAGCATTAGCACATCTCATTTCCATGGAGAATATTTGGCCCCGCCCCCTCAGTCATGGTCTATCGAATTTGAAACTTTTGCTTAGTTTACATGTATTAGTTTGTGATTAGATCAGTTTAAGATGAACTGATTATGTTAAATCAATGATATTTGGTATACACATTTATTGGCATTTGCAAAAGAGGGGCGAAAGATGTATCGTTTCCATGGATATTGTATAGCCCAACCGCCTCTTCATGGTTCATTGACTTTGAAACTTTTATATAGTTTACAAGTTAATGTTTGTGTTTAGGTTTGTTTAAAGGGAACGACTTATAATAAGTCCATGGTATTTGGTATGCAGTTGTATTAGCATTGGCACATCTCATTTACATGGAAATTCTTTGGCCATGTACCCTCAGTCATGGTTCATTGACTTTGAATATATGCACAACTTATGTAACATGTTAAAATATTGCTTTTTTAATTTCAACATTTGCATTATCAAAATTACAAAAAAGGCGAGACATATCTGTGATAACAGTTTATCATTACTTATAAACTATTGTTATATACCAAAACAATATTGATTCAAATCGAATTTGACCTATGTTTACCATGTTAGTTGGATTCACTTCAACGTAATGAAATGATGCACGCCAATGTAATGATTTATATGCGTCAACCTTAATCTAATTCTTTGATCCCTTGATGATTTGAAAACTGACAGGTTATTAAACAGGTTGACCATCAGGATCAATGTTATTATGGCATTTGTATATTCAAAGGAGTATTATGGCAACTCGTCACCTTATTAATTGAGATTGAATGAACATGTTATTAAAAAAGAATGTATTAATAACTCATCATTCATTGAAAACACCATTTTTTGTATAATTACCACCATAAAAATAGAAAATAGAAATACTGGGCGTCCCTCCCCCAGATCTTGTATGCTCTTACATATTCAATTCATGCCAGAAACTCATGAAAATGATTTCAAAAGGGGGCGAAAGATACCAGAGGGACAGTCAAACTCATAGATAGAAAATAAACTGACAAAGCCATGGCTAAAAAAGAAAAAGACACACAGACAAATATAAGTACATAAAACACAACGTAGAAAACTAAAGACTAAGCAAAACAAACCCCACCAAAAACTGGGGGTGATCTCAAATGATCTCAAAGGTTTATATTTACAACCTCTTGCATAATTTTCGAAATCAATACTGATCAACAATTTAAAAACAAACTTAAACCTCTTGGAAATATCAATTATATGAAAAATTGCATTGTAAGTACTATCACGCAGTCAATTGTGTACAATTATTGACAAATTTTCACGAAATTGATAACCAAGGTTTATATCTACAGCCGCTTGGACAAGTTCCAAAATCAGTGCTTATCAACTATTTTCAAATACGTTAGGCCCTGGGAAATATCAATTATATGGACAATTACGTCAGGTACATTGCTGTGCATTCTCAAGAATACAGTTATTGCCATGGTTGTCACTTGACACAAGATCGAAAATCAGTTCTAATCATTTCTTATTTTATAAAAGTGATAACCTTGGAAATATCAATCATACTAAGAATTGAAAGCGCTCTCAAGTATATAATTCTTTCCAGATTTAAAAAAAATAATGATTTCAAACGTTTATATCAGAAATTGCTCTGACAAGTTCAAAAATAAATGCCGAAGAACTATTTTTACAAGAGTTATGCCCCTTGGAAATATTCTCACATGAAAAATTGCAGAGTAAGCCTATAATAAAGATAATAATAAAAAGGTTTTAAGAACGCAAAATTTTTAAGTTATTGCCCATGGACTCATACAATATTTGCAACACGATTATGTGAGTAGGTCAGTATGTAAGGTAATTTTTAACAAGTAATTTAATTTGTCTTTAGCTTGCTACAACATTGCATCGTTTGGTGTAAAAAGCAATGACCAATTTTTATTTCTATCCAACCACTTTAAGTATTAACACAAAAAATGTGGATCTTACACCAATTGGTCTGCAATCCATCAACACAAATAACCAATAGTTATGTAAGGTACCAGGCTTTTAATTTAATACGCCAGACGAGTGTTTCGTCTACATAAGACTCAGATAAAAAAAAGTTGTAAAACCAAACAATTACAAAATTGAAGAGCACTCATAGAGCATGTAGAGCATTCAACAGATTCAATCTGGGCGGGAGGAGGGGCATGGGGATTTGCAAATGAATATTCCTGTCTTGTAGAAGCTAAAAATAAATTCCCATGTTACCAAAACAGTACGATTTCAAGTTATTGTTAGTATAGCATGACTGAAGGATGACAGGTTTACATTTCTTGGTTCATTTGATGATGCAGATAATTGGGCTAAGCACCATCTACTGAATGTACATACTATTGGTTGATAAAACTATACAGATGAGCAGTGCTGATAAAGCTTATTTTAACTTTATTTCAAAATATATATATTTTATCAAAGATCATTGTATCAGTCAAACAATATTAAGTTATTGTTTTCCTATGCTCTGAACATGAGCTTTCAAACTGTCAGTTACAATCAGTTAAGAGAGAGCGAGGCATTTTAGATAGGAGATATTTTCTTTTTCGTTCTAGGTCAAAATTGAACTTACAAACTCAGCTTTCATTATTTTTTTTTCTTTGCAGCTCACCATGAAGAAGATATAAGAGAATGGGAGCAAGACCAAACTACCTTTTGGGAAACCAGAGCAACGCGTCACATACTGGAATGTCTACCCTCACATAACTGTATTGTTGTGACAGGAAGCTCGGGTTGTGGTAAATCTTCAAACATACATCAAGCTGCCTTACACTTACGTGACAGTTTTGGATATGAGATAATACCTGTTTTAGTAGGACCAACAGACATAATGAATTATTATAATAAAAACAAAAAACAAGTTTTTGTTGTTGATGACATATGTGGAAAGGAAACAATAAACACACAAACATTACAGACGTGGAGAGATAATTCAGAAAAAATGGAGAAAATATTTAAAGATGAAGAAACAGATGTTGGAAGTAAAAATGATGGCACGGTTTCAAAGTTATCAAGTCCAAGATTACTGATTTCTTGTAGACTGCATATATATAAAGAATCACAGTTTCAACGTATTTCATTATTCACAAAAATAGAATGCAATTTATTATCACCCGAGTTTTGTTTGCAGGAAGCTGAAAGAATGCTTATGCTGCAGAAGTACCTTCCTGATGACATAATTGACAATATAAAACAAGTCACAGAGAACATCGATTACTTTCCCTTGCTTTGTAAATTGTCAAAAAACAAAACATCTGAGGAAGTCAAGAAACTGTTTACAGCTCCTTTAATTAATATTCAAAAGAACATAAACAACATTATTAATGAAAATAAAGAACAGTTCTGTGCTCTTTCTCTGTGTATCATATTTAATGATGGATTCAATACAGACTGGCTGAAAAAAGGATCAGGTTCAGATAATAAGAAGTACACACTTGAGGACATTGTTAAAGAATTTGACATAGAGTTAAGCAAAGAGAAGCATAGAAAGTCTTTAAAAGATGCCTTTTCAACATTAAATGGCACTTACTTAAAACTGAAAGGCACAGAATATAGAATGATACATGACAAAATCTATAAAATGGCAGCTGTAATCTGTGGACAACACAGTAAAGAATTTTTTATCAATAATGCTCCCTCTGTATTTATTCGGGATAAATTCATCTTTGAATCTGTAATGGAAGTCGATGAAAAAGATGATTTAATTGTATTATTAAAAGACCAAGAAGAAGATTATTTTGAACGACTGTTATGTGATTTAACAAAGCATGTCATTATAAGTACATTCAATAATTACCAGTTAATTTATCAGACATTTAGAGATCAGTTGATAAGCTTTTTAAAAAGGAAAGATGCTGCAAAAACAGTCTTAACGAAGCTTGATACAGAAGGTTGCATAATTATCAAAAATAATGATAATCTAAAATATCCGTTTGAGATACAATATTATACAACACCTTTAATAGAATCAGCAATAATGGGTTACTTTGATATTGTTCAATTTCTTATTGTTAATGCTAAATGTAATGTGAATAAAACAGACAGTCAAGACAGCTCCCCTTTATATAAGGCATCCGAAAGAGGACATTCAGCTGTAGCTAAATTATTATTAGAGAATAATGCTGATGTATCTCAGTGTAACTCAAATAAACAGTCTCCATTGTATGCGGCCTGTATTGAAGGACATACAGATATAGTAGAACTGTTACTTCAGAACAATGCTGATGTCAATCAGTGTGATGTCCGTGGAAAGCCTCCATTATATGTGGCCTGTGCAGGAGGACATAAAGATATAGTAGAACTGTTACTTCATAACAATGCTGATGTCTCTCAGTGTAAAATATATGAAAAGTCTCCATTGCATGTGGCCTGTAAAGGAGGACATACAGATACAGTAGAACTATTACTGCAGAAAAATGCTGATGTCAATCAGTGTGATGAGGATGGTGAGTCACCATTGTTTGTGGCCAGTAAAGGAGGACATAAATATACAGTAGAACTGTTACTGCAGAACAATGCTGATGTCTCTCAGTGTAATATGTATGGATGGTCTCCATTGTTTGTGGCCAGTACAGGAGGATCTAAAGATACAGTAGAACTGTTACTTCAGAACAAGGCTGATGTCTCTAAGTGTAACTTTTATAGGGAGGTGCCATTGTTTGCGGCCTGTAATGGAGGATATAAAGAAACAGTAGAATTGTTACTTCAGAACAATGCCGATGTCAATCAGTGTAATGCGGAAGGTAAGTCCCCATTGTATATGGCCTGTGCAGGAGGATATAAAGATATAGTAGAACTGTTACTTCATAACAATAATGATGTCTCTCAGTGTAGTCGGTATGGACAGTCTCCATTGTTTGTGGCCTGTAAAGGAGGACATAAAGAAACAGTAGAATTGTTACTACAGAACAATGCCGATGTCAATCAGTGTGATGAGGATGTTGAGTCACCATTGCTTGTGGCCAGTAAAGGAGGACATAAAGATACAGTAGAATTGTTACTTCAGAACAAGGCTGATATCTCTCAGTATAACTTTTATATGGAGTCTCCATTGTATGCGGCCTGTAAAGGAGGATATAAAGAAACAGTAGAATTGTTACTAAAGAACAATGCTGATGTCAATCAGTGTAATACGGATGGTAAGTCCCCATTGTATAAGGCCTGTGCAGGAGGACATACAGATACAGTAGAACTGTTAATGCAGAACGATGCTGATGTCTCTAAGTGTAGTCGGTATGGACAGTCTCCATTGTTTGTGGCCTGTGAAGGAGGACACAAATATACCGTAGAACTGTTACTGCAGAACAATGCTGATGTCTCTCAGTGTAGTCGGTATGGACAATCTCCATTGTATGTGGCTTGTAAAGGAGTACATAACGTTACAGTAGAACTGTTACTGCAGAACAAGGCCGATGTTAATCAGTTAGATAGTAAGGGAGAGTCACCTTTACATGCGGTTTGTTCATATCATTACAAGTTGCAATCAATAATCAGTAAAGATAGAATGGAACCATTTTCAAAAAGATACATTGAAACTGTTAAAATATTACTTGCATGGAAAGCAGATGTTAAAATGTGTAATAAGAATGGTCAGACACCACTTGATGTTGCCCGTGAATCAAAGTTCGTGGAAGTTGTAAATCTTTTTGATGAAAATCTTCGAATAAAAGAATCACAATTAAAGTAAACATTTCGTAAATTTGAATTTTACAACGAGGACATATAGTTATATTATGATAATTGTATCACTATAAAAGAAGTCAATGTATGCATAATCCAGGTGTTATTTAAACAAGACATTATATTCAATTAGCTATGTAGGTAATTTAAAGGAATATACACAAGAAATTACTAACAAGATTTATCTAAGATTACAATAACTGCCTGGACAATATTTAATAATTTCTAAATTCTCTTATGGCATCGATTTTTCTGAATTTTGCAAATCATATTTAATAACATGACTCAAATAAGTGATATATATATAAGAGCATTATTTCAACATAAATTGTAAAGTTTATTTTAAACTTTGAACTCAATGTTATCGAACTCAGACACATTACATACGTGTTACAAAATTTACATACACACAAACAATACACAACAATGGATGATATGATAAAGAAAATATAATGCATTATCATACAGTCAATTCACAAAATAAGTTTACTAATTAACATTGATAACCTTTCCATAACGTTTTACATTATAAAGAAAGAAATAATTATTGTTTAAGTAATGTTCTTGACTGGTATATATACAACAGATGATGTGGTATGATTGGCAATGAGATAACTCTTCACAAGAGACAAACGAAATAGAATTTAACAGCTAAATGATCCGTATGGCCATACACAATGTACAAAGCCCATACCGCATAGTCAGCTATAAAAGGCCCCGAAATCACAAATGTAAAACAATTCAAACGAGAAAACTAACGGCCTAATTGATGTACATTCATAGGGTGCATGTCATTGGTCAGTATATGTATGGAATGTATGTCATTGGTCATTATATGTTTGGAGTGTTCGTGATCAGTCAGTGTATGTATTGAATGTTTGTGATCAGTCAGTGTATGTATTGAATAATTGTGATTGGTCAGTGTATGTATGGAATGCTTGTAATTGGTCAGGGTATGTATGGAATGCTTGTAATTGGTCAGTTTGTGTATTGAATAATTCTTATTAGTCAGTGTTGGTATTGAATGCATGTAATTGGTCGGTCAGGGTATGTATGGAATGCATGAATTGGTTAGTGTATATATTGAATGCTTGCGATTGGTCAGTGTTTTTATAAAATGCTTGTAATTGGTCAGTGTATGTATTAAATGCTTGTACTTGGTCAGTGTATGTATCGAATGTTTGATATTGGTCAGTGTATGTATGGAATGCTTGTAATTGGACAGTGTGTGTATGGAATACTTGTAAATGGTCATTTTCCGTATGGAATGCTTTTGATTGGTCAGTGTATGCATGAAATGCTTGTAATTTGTCAATTTAGGCATGGTATGCTTGTAGTTGGTCGGCATATTTATGGAATGTTTGTTATTGGTCAGTATATGGAATTGTTGTTATTGGTCAGTGTATGTATGGAATACTTGTAATTAGTCGGTGTATGTAATAAATGTTTGTGATTGGTCAGTGTAATTGTTCCAGACCATATCAGTATTTGGACCGTACGCGTACAATCCGGACCGTATGCGTACTTTTTCAAATTACGCATACGGTCGGACTGTACGCGTACGATCTGCCTGACTATAAGAAGTTGGGCAAGTTTATTAAATACAAATGTATAACAGATCAACATAACTGAAATCTCGAATTAATATAAAAAGTGCAATTGTAATTCGAATAAAAACTTGTTTTAACTACTTAAAAGATGATCTCCTGTATATCACGACAGAATACTAAAGATACTGGACATAAATTATAAAAAATCTGTTCAAAATACAATGAGAAAATATAATAAAAAAGTGTCGAAAACTAATGGAAAGTTTGAAAAAGGTATCTTTGATACCGTGAGAAAACCATCAGGGTATTTAGAGTTTATGATATTATTGGTAAAGATGCAAGTTTGTACAAACAATCATGTGAATATGGCATATTGAACTCTTGTTATGTAATGGGTGATATAGAACTTTTGACACGTAAAATTGAAACTACACATTATAAAACAGATGGAATTTCATTGCATGCTGCAGCAAAACAAACAATCTTTTCTCTTGCAAGAAAGAGATGCAAATGCAAAGGAACATGCATGAACAAAACATTTAAATGTAAGAAATCTGATGTTCCTTGTGGCAGCAAGTTTCACTCGGGGCGAGAGTGCCATAAAAGGGATTAAGATACAGAATTTTTTAATTTCATTTGATTTAATGTTAGCTTATTCACTTTATTCATCTAATAGTGATAATATTAATTTGTAATACTCAATAAAAGTTTTTTGATAAATAATTGTCTAAAATAAACCCATATGGTCCAAATACATGTATGGTCCAGCTCGTAATAAACCGTATGAGTATTTTCGTATGGTCCAACCATACGCGTACGAGTATACGCATATGGTCTGTATCGTACGCGTACGGTCCAAATACTCATATGGTCTGGAACGTATGTATTGAATGTTTGTGATTGGTCAGTGTATGTATGAAATGCTTGTCGTTGGTCAGTGTATGTATGGAATGCGTGTACTTAGTAAGTATATACATGCACTGTATGTAATTTGGTTTGTATATCCATGAAGTGTATGTTATTAATCAGTATATATATAGGGTATATGTAAATGTAATTGTCAGTGTATGTATGGAGTATATTAAATTGGTCAGTATATGCATATAGTGTATGTAATTGATTTTACACATGTTAAATACATAAATGCATTGGACTCTTGTGGAGAGTTGTCTCATTGGCAATCATACCACATTTTCTTTTTTATATAAAATATTTTTTTTCTTAAAGACCTTCTATATATTAATTGTGATAGACTATCAAATAAGGACGTTTTTAAGGGCACACTTACAATGGCGTCAACTTAGGCAATATCCTTCATCATAAATTAGTTCAGTCGAAAATACCTCCTTATTTTAAAGATCAGTCTGTACCAATAATTTCTTATACCTATACCAAACCAATTGCAACTAAAATTTTCAATTACAAACACGTTTCGCAGGATCTCAACATTGACGACTTCAAGTCTAAACCTCCTGATTGCACCTGTGCTAGTTCCCAATTCACATATAATCCGGCTGGCCACGTTATTACCGGAGACCTCAACATTGTCGATAACACTTCCCTGCGAAATTTGTTATCCAAAGGTCCGAAATATCGTGAGCCTAAATCCATCAATTGGAAATACAACTTCAAAATACTGATGGATTCAGTCGAGGATTATGCCAGGCAATGGGCTAAACGCGAGAAAGAAGACGTAGATACTCTTTCCGAATGGATTAAGGCTGTGAGGTCGTTGATACAAATCCGAATTAAGAAACTAAATGGGCATATCAATACCCACGATACATCAATGTCCCCGCAGATAAAGCCCCAAACAACATCGTTTTTGTGTGTAAATATCATTACATAAACTGCTTGATAAATGAATTAGGTATTGACAATTCACTTGGAAACTCAACATATACCCTCACGACACTTACCAAAGAGGAAATCCTAGATAATCATAGGTCTGTTCTATGTTCCTTTGGAATTTCAACCAAAGACGAAGAACTGGATCTTCCATCACTGTATTGGATACCTAAACTACATAATTGTCCTTACAAACAACGGTATATTGCTGGGTCTTCCAAGTGCTCCACGAAACCTCTTTCTAAATTATTAACATCTATTTTATCAGCAATCAAAGCCGGGCTCCAAAGTTATTGTGAAACTGCCTATTCTAGAGGTGGCGTGAATCAGATGTGGATACTAAAGAATTCCAAAGATCTTTTAGAGTACATACAATCTAAGACTCTCTCATCTTGCAATAGTATTAAAACATTTGACTTTTCTACACTTTACACAAGTATTCCCCATTCCAAATTAAAAGACAAATTGAAAGAGTTGGTATTACTTTGTTTCATTAAAATGAATGGCGAACGTAGATACAAGTATCTTGTCTTGGGGAGGGATAAATCCTACTTTGTAAAGAATCAGTCTGATTCAAACAAAAAATTCTCTGAAACTGACATTATCAAGATGCTTGATTTCTTGATTGACAACATATTTGTTACGTTTGGAGGACGTGTTTTTCAACAGACTGTCGGAATTCCAATGGGAACCAATTGTGCCCCTCTTCTTGCCGACTTGTTTCTTTATTATTATGAGGCTGACTTCATACAGGAGCTTCTTAGGAAGAGAGATAAGAACTTAGCAATATCCTTTAACTCTACGTTCCGCTATAAAGATGATGTTCTCTCACTAAATAATACAAAATTTGGTGACTATGTTGAACGAATCTATCCAATCGAACTAGAGATAAAGGATACTACAGATACAGTTAAGTCTGCCTCATATCTTGACTTACATCTAGAAATTGACAATGAGGGTCGGTTGAAAACAAAACTTTACGACAAAAGAGATGATTTCAGCTTCCCAATTGTGAACTTTCCATTTCTATGTAGCAACATTCCAGCAGCGCCTGCATACGGAGTATGTATCTCCCAATTGATAATATATTCCCGGGCTTGTGTTTCCTATCATGATTTCCTTGATAGAGGATTGTTGCTCACAAGGAAGCTATTAAACCAAGAGTTCCAAATGGTGAAGTTGAAGTCATCCCTTCGTAAATTTTACGGACGCCATCACGAGTTGGTTGACCGTTATGGAAGCACCGTTTCACAGATGATATCGGATATGTTCCTTATGTCGTAACTACAATACCCTTCCCTTTTCACGAATGTGACTTACCGAATTAGACTATTTACCGGATTTGTAATAACATAAGCAACTCGACGGGTGCCACATGTGGAGCAGGATCTGCTTACCCTTCCGGAGCACCTGAGATCACCCCCAGTTTTTAGTGGGGTTCGTGTTGCTGTTGTACCCCTATTTGTGACATTTTTACCTATTGTGTCTGTTTGTTTTGTTCACACATCGTTGTCAATATAATGGAATTTGATGCGACTGTCATGCAAGTGAGAGGTTTAGCTAGCTATGAAACCAGGTTCAATCCACCATTTTCTACATAAGAAAATGC